GAAATAAGCCTCTAGACGTGCAAATAGTAACAATGAGTAAACCAATGCAGACAAAACATGTCTTCAATTACAATCAACATTTATAGCGTCATAAGTGATGAAAGCATGAAAAAATGTAAATTGGCTGAAAATTGCCGCAAATTATTTTCCATGACGACAGCTGCAATTGGCAATCATTTTTCAAAATTATTTTTTTAAATAGCCATTAATTGGACAATTTAGTAGAAAACACCCATCAGTCATCCGTAACATGAATACGAGTGATAGAAGACAAACGATTTACTTTTTTGGGGCCAGTTTTCTAACCAGTCTATCGTAACTGCCTTAAGAGCTCCTTGAAATGGTCACAATGGATGGCAATAATTTTGTAATTGAGCAACTAATTGCTCACAATTTGCAGGTTTAAAGAAACAAAATGAACATTAAATTCTTGCAACTACTTCTCTGCACTTTGTGGATTTTGGAAAAATGTGAGGCGGAATTGGAAATTGTGAGCCAGTGGAACTTGTTGCAGTTCGATCCACCTTATGGGTACAGTGCGGTTGATTTCAGGTAAATGCGATTATTTAGTGTAACTAAATTAAATTTTTTACATAAAAATAAAAAACACCGCGCCTATAAACGTATGGAATGTATAGAATAGTTCCAAAGAAAGGCCCTTTTGGAACCTTCTGAAGCCTTTTGAGCGTGCTCTTGACAAATTTGGATCAAAAAGCCGATTCAACATACTCTTGATTAGACAATTCCAGCAGTTTCCAGCATTTTGCATCTGCTTCAAATTTGTTTTGTTATAGACCAGAAAACACTGTATTCACCGGTTTGGAAGTAACAGCGGACCGAATATTCCTTGGAGCGCCCCGCCTAAGAGCGGGTATTCCTGCAACATTATTTACCATTCCCCGAAACATTCCCTTAGGGTCCAGCCCTAAACCCCAACCATATCCCGACTGGTCGTATCATGGTGCCGGCTTGGGATTGGACAACGAAACCACCTGCGCGGGTTTGGTCTCTGTTTACAGAATGAGGCTGGACTCTTGTGGAAGATTATGGGTAAAGAATGCGACCGACTTTCACTGGGGAGGAGTTTAACGGAATACTTATTCCAGGCTCTAGATTCGGGAATAATGACATCGGTTGACGACTTTCAAAGAATATGCAACCCCAAATTGGTGGTTTTCGACTTGAAAACGAACCAGCCAGTTAGAACCGTGATCTTTCCTAGACAAGTACTGAGACCTGCGTCCTTACTGGCCAACCTGATCATCGATGAAACCATTCAGGGAACTTGCGATTCAGCCTTTGTTTATCTGGCAGATACCGCTGCTCCAGGTATGTTCACCTGGGCGAAATTTTTAAGTTGAAGTATATTTTTTTGGGGTTTAGGAATTGTTGTGTATGATGCACTTCGGGACCGAACTTGGAGAGTCACTCATCCGAGCATGTTCCCTGACCCCAACTTTGCTACTTATACCATTACAGGCGAAAGTTTCACTTTGCCTGATGGCGTAGTGGGATTGGCCCATTCGCCTAAGTTAGCCACCGTTTTTTACCAACCTTTGGCTACTGATAGGTAAGCGTAGCTTTAAAGTGAAATTTTAGCAAAAGTTCTAGACGTTTTTCCATCGATAAATTAGTGTTTTTACATAAAATTTATGTGCATTTATCACATTGTTAACCGGCTAACAATCGTGTTTGAAGTTTATTTTATACGCCGCAATCTGTTTTTCTCTAGAATTTTCAGTATCCCAACTGCCACTCTAACCAAGGGCCCACCAGCTGAATTCGAAGACATTCCCGTGACTCTGGCAGGGAGAAAATCCTCTCAAGGGTTGGGTTTGGCTCTGAATCCAGCTGATGATACTCTATACTTTAGTCCTTTGACCGAAACCTCAATAGCATCATGGAATCCGTTGACTAACAAGCAAAGGTGAGCAAATCAACAAAATAGAATAGAATATACAGTATATTCTTGGACTCTTCTGTTCTTCTCCATGGACATTTTTAACCTGTTTAAAGCAACAATTGACGATTTCCTAGAATCTTTTGTCGCTCAAACGTAGAATAATGAACTTTCCTAAACAGAGTGTTCTGGAATAAACGCATGATTGTTTTGCTTCATGTTCGCTTTGACTTTAAAACCGTAAAACGTTTTGCTTTCTTGAATTTTTAAAAAGTCGCATCAGCATTTCCCTTTAAAAACGATGTTTTCAATAAATATGGGAAAAACGCAGTTTAAGATTTGTTTGAAGAAATCCACCGGAAAACTCGTCAAATTCAACTAATGGCAGCAAAAGAATAACACTTTTGCTAATAATAAAATTTCTGAAAACCAGCAAAACACTTGAATCGCGCATTATGTGTTCCCTATATATAAAACTCTTCAACAGTCATTTTTGGTGTTTTTTTTTAAGATTTTTTTGCACGATAATAGTTGTTGAAACTTTGGTATATTTTCCAGCATTGTGGCTTTCGATCCAAACTTGATTCAATTCGCATCCGAACTGAGATGGATAGAAGGCAGTCTATGGTTTCTAAGCACCAGGTTCCAGAAATTCTTTAAAAGAACTGTGACGCCCAATGAAATCAACCTGAGAGTCATCAGAGTTCCGAATACCAACTACAACAATCTGAACAATAACTTGTACTTAAAAAAGTAGAGCTGTTGGAACAACTCGGCTTTAATACCTCTGGATCAAGACTTATATTTAGAAATTTTTTAAATGTATTTTCCCTAGGCGCTACCAAATTTTATTGTATAATCACAGTCATCTACCTCTTTGTATGGCCCCCGTTATATGGCGTTGTTCTATATCTACCAGATAGTTTAACAACATTGCTTTATTCACAGTATATACTTGTTTCCAAATAAGACCCTTGCTTAGTATTGTACATACCCAATTTAAATAGTATCATTTAGTGTTTTTACCCAGTTTTTGTATTTATTTTTGTACTTTTGTATATAGAAATTAGATTTATTATTTTGACTGAAATTGGTGTTTTGCGTCTTTTTTCCTTAGGGTTTCACAAACACTCGTCCATGGATAATGCAAATATTTATAAACAAAATAAATTCCGATTGTGACCAACCATCCGAATAATCCAAATGCTTTTTAAGCATTGCGAGGCTTTTTTCAATTGAAATGTTCGCAATTTCAATTAATTGTCGTGCAAACTAATTTTTATCTGAAATTGAAAAAAGCACATATTTTGGCACAGTGTTACAAAATTTTCTTCAAAAGTATGTACATTTTTACAATAGAAAATTAAGCAAAATGCTCAATTTTCCTGGCACTTTGGATTTACGATAACGACTATAAAAACATTTTACTTTGAGCCAGATTGAACTTTTTGTATAATTGATATAAGAAACATTGGAGAAATATTTTTTGCGATTGCAGGCAGCGTTTTGGAACAATTGATAGAAAAAAAATCTTGTTGAAAGCTTCTTGTTTGTTGTTCAATGTTTGTCCTTTTATATGCTTAAGGTAAAACGAAGTAAATGCTATTTTTTAGCAAATTTTTCTTGAAGCGATTCGTTGGAAGAGAGGCCTTTAAAATCACCGGACTTGAACCCTACGTATTTTTTGCGCGTGCTTTTAAAAATATCAGTTGGTATTTTCTGTAGTATCAAATGAAAAAAAATGGCATGTTCTGCTGGAAACAATTTATTTCTGTAATACAAATCAAATCGGAACAACCAGAAATTGTTGAAAAAGTCTACTTTTTCTGAGAATTAAGAGGTTTTTGAATCGAATATAAAAATTCAATGAGCGGATTTTTTGTCAGCAAAATTGCTTATCTGCGTTCTAACGCGCCCTTAGACCCGTTTCGTACCAATCCAGGCGGATAATTAACATTGCGACCCATATGTGACACTTCATTGAGGTTCACTTTTATTCAATAAACTCCTCCTTATCTGAATGGCACAAGACCGCTTTTACCGAGGGTTTAATCTATTTTGTCCTTAACATTCGACTATACACTGAGAGATATACATATATACACTACATATACTATATACACTGTCGAACATTGATTGAGTGAAAATCTTTCCTTTTGGCTCATCCACCTATTTAAAAACGTTAAGGAAATTAAACTTCTAGAGAAAAAAATCGGCTGAAACAACCGACACCCAAAAACACTTAGCATGCATGAAAATATTCGAAAGTTGCCCCAAAATTTTTCTCAGTGTGCTTCCCCATAGACGTTCAGGAGAAGTGAACTCCATTATGTAGCAATTTTCCAAATAATCTATTTACGACAAATTGTAATTCGAGCGCCCGAACTGGAAAATTACCTTTCCACTTCAGCCCTATAAAGCGAGGACGCTCCCAACAGCGCTCAAACCAGCCAGTGCCCTCGAAGCAGAAACATCACGAAGAATACCAAACGTCTACCAAATCTTACCATACAAGTCATAACTCGCAGCCAAATAGATTTTCGTTTCCTCTCCATCATGATACCGTTCAATCCAAAGCCAAACGGTATGCTCAAGCATACCGCCGTACTAATGATCATACTGTGTATTTCTCAGAACTGTTTGGGACTGTTGGAAGACCCAAACAGGGAACGTTTCCAGGAGCGCCAATCACTTGCCGATGATAAATTTGGACGAGAATCTTTAAAATCTTCGCCGTACATCCGAGATGTTCGAGCTGATTCCCGACAGTCCAGAATCGACGCCAGTGACATCCGGACGGACTTTCGGGAAATCAGGACTGAATTGCACGACGGATTTTCCAGAGATTTGGTCCGAGTTGATGCGAGATGGGAGTCCAGAGGAACTGACCAGGTGAGGGATTTGGAAAACGCACAATTAAGGACCAGAACCAACCAAGATAGGGAAAATACTAGGCAAACGGGTCGCGTTGATGAAAGAAGCTTTAGGGAACAAACACGGGTGCGGAGCTCCGAAAATCCAGAAGCTGATAGAGTAGCGGAACGTTTCACTCCAGCGCAACTCCATTCTGCACAGAGGAGATATTCTGATAATCCTCTATCAAGAACTTCAGCGTCGAGATGCAACAGAAGAATGAGCTTTGAAGAAACACAGCCAACAACCAGCGATCGTCGGCGGCAATTTGGAGATAGAAGCGCGGAAACTCCAGAAAGACGCCTCCGATCAGCCGAGGACAGAACAACGGAAACCCGCTCATCTTCCAGAAGAGTTTCAGAACGCCAAGAAGATTCCAACCGACGAATTCGAAATAGGTCTGAAAGATCTACAACCAACTTCAGGCATCTGGAAAGATTGAGCCAAAAAACCGACAAGAACCGACGTGATCAGCAAAGAACGCTTCAACGTGACAACACTGATATCTTAAATGTTAGAGATCTGGAGAGAACCCGTAGAATCATTCATATTCATGGTGCAAATGTCGAGCATCGAGATAGCACTTTTGGTGAACGACAACAAAGAGCGTTTAGACACCGAGAAGAATCCCGGCAAAATTCGCCCGATTTTGAAAAAGCCAGAATATTGATGAATCAAAGACGAGTTCGGGAGATAAATTTACAACGCGCTCGAAATTTAGAATCCATGCGATTTGCTAATCGCAATGCCAACCTGCAAGAAAGACGATTTGTTCAAGTCCATAGGCGCCAACGCCTGAACAGCATTGAGAGGGACAATCGCGTTCGAGATTTAAATGAAGAATCTCGTGTGAAACACCGTCGAACTTCACTGAACGAACAAAGCAGGGAAAGCGGCAGAACAGCTGAAGGAAGAATAAATTCCAGTGGCAGATTTGCAGGAAACCGAATATTTGAACCCATCAGCAGCCCTAATGTTGAACGAGAAGAAAACAGGGAACGAGTTGTTGGTAACATCAGAGCCCAATCTGAAGAAGCCACAGTTTACTCCAAAGCTCGCCATAATCAGATCAACACACCTTCCAGGGAAAGGAGAGTCGTTGAAAATGTTGCCACTGAAACCAAGCCCAGAAGCAGCATGTTGGTTGGTTACAATCGGATTGTTTCAGACTCTCCCGATGCGAACAAGTTGGTGGATTTACCAGCGCGAAATGGAAAGTACAGCAACACTTGGGTGAATGTCGCTGAAACTCTTCTAGTCCTGGCCCTAATTGGGCAAGTAATTGGCGGAACTTCCAAAGGAAAGTTCAGGTAAATATCAAAAGATTTTGTCCCATAAAGAGCAATTTGTTAATGTAGAATGTTTCCACAGGTGCTTGTCGTGGCAGGGACTGCTCCCCAAGCAAAAGGTGTTGTAAAAATGCACTCAAACACGATTTAAACTTTTTATGACGACTTCTGGCAAAGCTTCACGGTACCTTTTCGAGTAGCTTACTCTAGATTAATAAGCTTAGATGTTTATGGCAAATACCAACATATTAATGTTAGTTGAGTAGGACAATATCTATATGAATGTATTTACTTTAGGAAAACCTTCACATTGTTTTAATTTAAGGATATGGATTGTTTATTGGATCTGTAGTATTGGCGACTTCTAGCTGTTTTCGCCTTAGATGAAGTATGAAAGCTAATGGTGTTGGCTGTAGGTCACAGTCTTATATGAAATAAAATGCTTAAAAACCATTTTTTTTTACTTGGGAATCAGGGGCGGATCCAGCTTTAAAGTCAAAGGGGGGTTATGTAGAAAAAATACAGTCTTCTGTTATCTATGAAATTAGTAAAATGATCGACGTTTTGTGCAAGGGCGGCGCAAGAATATTGCAAAATTTCATGTTTTCCGTTCCGTTTTGCATGTTTCTCGGAAGCAAAATGAGCAAGAACGCTCGTTTTTACATCATT